AGCTCACCCACCGTGCGGGTGACAAGGAGGTCGGGGGGGGGGCAGTAATGGGCAACAGTGGTGACTGTTGTTCTGACGATGCCTGTGGTGCGCATATCGATGTGCATGTCGACTTGCTTTTCGATCTGCATCTCGATTTGCATGTCTTCATATCTATGTGCATGTCGATTTGCTTTTCGATCTGCATCTCGATTGGCATGTCGACTTGCATTGGAAAGTTCGCCGCAGGCACCGATTTTTTTAATACGCAGCCCGCGGCGCCTTGCGATTTGCATTTGTGTGTGCATGTCTATTTGTATTTCGATGTGCTTTTCGGTTTGCATGTAGACTTGCATTGGATAGCTCGCCGTAGCAACGGCGGGACATCAGCGGGACACCGGCGGGACACCGCGGGCCACCGGCCGCCGGATGAGAAACATTTGGTCAGGCCGCGGCCCAGCCACAGGAGGATTTCCTTTCGCCCGCCCACGCAGCTTCGCCTCGCCCGCACGCACGCACGGCACGCACGACACGAACCCGAAACCGAAATCGATTTCCCGGTAGGGGGGGCCTCCGTTTCACGTCGGACTCACCCCCCAACCTCCGCTACGACCACCCTTCGGGTGATAAGGAGGTTGTGGGGGGGGGGAGAGGGGGGAACCAACATCTGACTCAATCGATCTCACTATCGATCTCGCTCAACGGAACACCACGGGACACCACGGGACACTTGTCGATCTCACTATCGATCTCACGATCGATCTCACTCAACGGGACACCACGGGACCCCACGGGACACCACGGGACACCGCGGAACATCTCGATCTCACTATCGGTCTCACTATCGATCTCACTATCGATCTCACTCAACGGGACCCCACGGGACACCACGGGACAACTCGGGACACCACATCGATGTCACTATCGATATCACTATCGATCTCACTCAACGGGACACCACGGGACACCACGGGACACCAGCGGGACACCGGCGGGACAGCAGCGGGACACCGGCGGGACACCGCGGGCCACCGGCCGCCGGAGGAGAAACATTTGGTTTGGCTGCGGCCCAGCCACAGGAGGATTCCCTCTCGCCCGCCCACGCAGCTTCGCCTCGCCCGCACGCACACATGGCACGCACGACACGAACCCGAAACCGAAATCGATTTCCCGGTAGGGGGGGCCTCCGTTTCACGTCGGACTCACCCCCCCAACCTCCGCTACGACCACCCTTCGGGTGATAAGGAGGTTGTGGGGGGGGAGAGGGGGGAACCAACATCTGACTCAATCGATCTCACTATCGATCTCGCTCAACGGAACACCACGGGACACCACGGGACACTTGTCGATCTCACTATCGATCTCACGATCGATCTCACTCAACGGGACACCACGGGACCCCACGGGACACCACGGGACACCGCGGAACATCTCGATCTCACTATCGGTCTCACTATCGATCTCACTATCGATCTCACTCAACGGGACCCCACGGGACACCACGGGACAACTCGGGACACCACATCGATGTCACTATCGATATCACTATCGATCTCACTCAACGGGACACCACGGGACACCACGGGACACCAGCGGGACACCGGCGGGACAGCAGCGGGACACCGGCGGGACACCGCGGGCCACCGGCCGCCGGAGGAGAAACATTTGGTTTGGCTGCGGCCCAGCCACAGGAGGATTCCCCCTCGCCCGCCCACGCAGCTTCGCCTCGCCCGCACGCACACATGGCACGCACGACACGAACCCGAAACCGAAATCGATTTCCCGGTAGGGGGGGCCTCCGTTTCACGTCGGACTCATCCCCCAACCTCCGATACGACCACCCTGCGGGTGATAAGGAGGTTGGGGGGGGGGAGAGAGGGGCGAACCAACATCTGACTCAATCGATCTCACTATCGATCTCGCTCAACGGAACACCACGGGACACCACGGGACACTTGTCGATCTCACTATCGATCTCACTATCGATCTCACTCAACGGGACACCACGGGACACCGCGGAACACCTCGATCTCACTATCGGTCTCACTATCGATCTCACTATCGATATCATTCAACGGGACCCCACGGGACACCACGGGACAACTCGGGACACCACATCGATGTCATTATCGATCTCCTTCAACGGGACACCACGGGACACCACGGAACACATGTCGATCTCAGTATCGATCTCACTATCGATCTCCTTCAACGGGACCCCACGGGACACCACGGGACAATT